TGGCAAACTCTAGACTTCCTGCAGTTATCACCTCTTCCTCACAACTGTCCACTTCTAAATATTTTGGGAGTGAAAATAAGTAATGATGTGGAGAAGGAAGATGAAAAGGAGGAAGGGAGCCCAACATAGGTTAGGAAGGATTCAAGGCTCACTCATGTCAGGCCTGTTGGAGCCTCCTCCTACCATCCCCATTGCATAAGGCATCTCTTCCTCATACCTGCTCAAGGCTGTGTGTAAGATGCTATCTCAGGTCCCTTATTCCACTCTTTGGGCCTCTGCCAGCAAGCATCTTCCTTTGTCTGCCTCACTCTGCAGCTTCCCAGACCTGCCAAAGTCTCAATGCTTATTTTAAAAGCAGCTATTTCAACCACATTTTCCATTCAGCCAATAGGGCAAGTATGCTAAAGAAACTCTAGTTAGAGGCCCTTGACTATGCAAAACTAGAGCAGAATAAAAAGATGAGCCTTTATTCAAAATGCGTTAGTAATTTCAAGACAGTGACAGCAGAATATTAAGTCAAACACAGGGCCCTTCTAAATACATGGCCCTGTGTGTCAGCACAGAATACTGTAGGGCAGGAAAGGCAGAGGTAGCTGTAAGGGACTCATGTGAGTTGAATATTGGTACTCTATTAGAAATACAGATGCACTTAAAACTCAGTGTCATATTATTGGAAAGTTAATAAAATTGTACCTCAAAGGTTAGATTGACTGGGTTTTATATGAAAATCTATCTAGAATAACAGCACAAGCACACACTCTGTTTTAGTGCTGAAACTCCTTAGCAGTAGAATAGAAGTTCCCCAAATGTCCAAGCACATTTTTACTCTAAAAACTAATAAAAAAAATTGACCCCACAGATATCTAAACCCAACATTGAGAACCATTTGAACGTAGATGGCTAAGCTTTACTTCCAAGGTTTCTGATTCAGTCGCCTGTGGAGGAATCAGGGCATCAGAAAAGTGAAGTACCATTGGAGCCCATGAGCCAAAACCATGATTATTAAATTCTCCAAAAGAAATTTCATGCTAGATCCATATACTAGGAGCTCCACCAAGGAGTGGCAGGCAGTAGCAGAATCAGTAGTAGAATCTCTAGGTCCATTTTTGCTAGTCTGTATGCTCAGGGTGAACTTGAGAAACTCTGTGGAAATCTATGCTTAAACCAGCTACAGAAAATTTACATAGATTTGAAATTCCACTGTTACAGAATTTTTGATGATTTCGATCCACTCATCAACAAACAGAGACTACTCTAAAGATGATAGAGCCAGTGTAGCGTAAATTGGAAGATACAGGTTCAAGTCCTGGTCCTACCACCTCAGCAAGTTCCCCATCTTCTTATGGGGATATCATGGGACCTGAGTTAGGACCCTCTTTTATAAGAAATGAGGGAACCATCTTCACAGAGCATTCATCAAGGAGATGAGATTTATATGTGAAATTAGGCTATATGCTATAGAATAGTAAAGTTATTGATTTTATTTAAATCCAACAGTGAAAAAAATCAAACAAGCCTTCAAATTAATCTTCTAAGTACTCAGATATAATTACCCATTGGCCAATCAATTGCATATTAAGCTAAATTTTCTTTTCCTTCATCTATGATAAATCTAACTTATCCTCAAAACTCAGGTTGAATTTTAACCTCTTTGTGAAATATTTTGTGTCTCCCCAGATAATTTTTTTGTTTCTACCTTAAACACTACAGTGATTTTATTTGATCACATGAATTTCCTCTTTCCAGATTTAAGAGATTTCTGAGAAGCAAGTCTCATCTGTGTTTGAATTACTGTGGATTGGATGTGCTCAGTATGTTAGTTAAATGAATAATTGGCAGAAGGAAAGAAGGAAGTTTAGACCATGTAAGACTTTTAGAAGTGTAAAAGCAAACATTTCAGGAGAAACAGGGATCTTGTGTGTCTGAACAATCCCATCCCCCTGTTCATAGTGCTAGATATATAATAGGTGGCCTGGAATAAATTTGCAAACAAAAGAAGAAAGGCCTTCTCTAGGCAAAGGTTCTGGTAGTCATGAACTTCCCCTTATGCCATGTATTATTTTCAGTAGTACAATCCGAAAGTGTTAGCTAGGCACTGGTGGTTTATGTCTGTAATCATAGCTACTCAGGAGGCAGAGATCAGGAGGATTGTGGTTCGAAGCCAGCCTGGGGCAAGTTGTTCAAGAGAGACCCTCTCTCAAAAAAACTCATCACAAAAGAGGGTTGGCAAAGTGGCTCAAGCCCTGAGAGTACCTGCCTAGCAAGTATGAGGCCCTGAGTTTAAATCCCAGTACTGCCAAAAAAAGTGTCACTTAACCACCAGAGGCTCCCCTGCAGAATCATTAGCACCCTCCAGGCCTGACACTGGCTCCTTAGAACCCTAGTCATTTTAGAACCCTGTTCCTTATCAAAAGAACTGGTTCCTATATCCCATTCCTGCAGCACTGTCCCATAGTCCTCCAGTATGTGCTAATTTAATAACCATAAATTCCTATACAAGTTATGGGCACTAAAGGGCAGATGAGATGGTTCATTCATGTGAATGAAATATTTAATCTCTGAAGTGCTTAGGCCAAATGATAGACCCAATAATGATTATATCTGGCACTGTGACTGATACTCACGTTACCTCATGCTCCACCTGACCTATATAGAGCCAACACTAGAGAGAAAAGTATATGTTTCCTGGGAAAAGATAACCTTTTATAGGGTTCCTATAAGGCAAGTTTACAGAAGTTTATAAAGGTTTTGTGGTGGGGCAAGCTGGAGATAGTTATAATTTTATATGAATATGGATCTTTTTATTTATTTTGTGATTAAATAAAAATGACTGGATTCTGTAATCAAAGAGAGTCAGACCTTAATATACTTAATCCCTCAGGACAGATTGATGCTTAAAGTGTCTTGGAGCAAAATAAGAGTAAAAACATGAGCCAAGATACCTGCCTTGGTCCAACACTGTTTCTTTCACATTAAGAAGGTAAATAGTTGCTAACTGGAACCACCAATTGGAAGAATAACAGTTATTTTCTATTTTCTTGGTCATTTTTCCCAGTGTAGACCCCAGAGGACTATAGGTAATGAAGTCCTCTCTTAAAGAAGAAAAGAGCCAGGTTTTCTCTATTGAATCTGAAGCCAAGATCTTTTTACTCAATTGATTAAAACTGTTCATAAATGTTCCTTGGGAATTTTCTCTTTGTACGCATAAGGTCCTGAGTCCTGGATTTTCAAGGTAACCATATCTGGTTCTTTACCATGAGCCAAACATACACAGATATGGAACTGTTAGTGATACCTTTAAAAGCCAGGAATTTGGGCTGTGATTGAGCTTTGAAAGGTTCTGATAACTGGACTTTTGTCTCTAATCACTAATAGTGTTTGTAATTTAGAGCTGGAGTAGTTCCCTCTGGTAATAAGTGCAGCCTGAGCAGACAGGGCACACTGTTGTTCTAAAATAGGTAAGGTTCAAATTAAATTTGGTGTAAACTGGTACAGAGCTAAAAGCCTCGGCTTCTGTTAATGCTGTTCTTTCAAGCAGAGTCCTCAATTTTATTTATCAGCCATTTGTCACTTTCATGATGCTTATCATATTTAAGTACCATCTGAGGTTTTTTTTTTTTTTTACTGTTTTTCTTTAAATCCAGTCATTGCTATACATGAATACATTTATTTTATTACACTAAATGGAAAAGTAGTATTCCCTAACTGTAGGTAATAAATAAAATGAAAACAAAAGTTATTAAATTCTAGCTAGCTGATATTGCTTGCCTAAGGTTCTGAGCCCAAGGTCTGTCTCCCTTTATTTGAAAGGGAAATTAACCTGGAGTGAGGACACTGAGTGCCATGGTGCAGTTTTCCTGCAGTTAGTGTAACCAGTGGGGAAAAAAGCTATCTTTTCTTTCTTAACTATATCAGTGCTCAAGGTAGTACCTACCCAACCTTTCAGAAACATGGCTTTGGAAAACTCATTCCCTTTGTATTCAGTGTAAGAAACTAAGCATTTGATTGTCTGGACTTGTATAAAGATTCCTTCCTTAAATGGGATACAAACACCCCAAGGGAGGTAAATGGCACTCTCCATATATCCCAGAAATGTCATCTAATAAGGGTTGGAATAAATTATTATGAGAAGAGAAAGACATGTACAAATGCATGAATGCCAGGAAATATGCAAGTACTTAACATTAATATTGGCTGCACTGTCTGTTTTGCACAATGGATCTACTCCCCGCTATTAGAAGCCTGCATAGTACTGCAAGCACACAGTAGGTGATCAAGAAGTTATCTGTTGAATCATCTAATGCAAATTGCATTCCCAAATCTCTCGATCCTGATACAATCCTAAAATCATGAGTGAGAAATGGATGGGGCCGACTCTTGAGAGTCTCAAGAGTCTCGAGAGAGAATCTTGAAGGAGGTTGGTGAGAGGCAAAGAGCTTGTATGTGGAGTTCTTACAAACACAAAAACTAGGAAACAAAGTATGAAAACATTGGGTTTCTCACCAAGGCTGTGACCTTTAAATAGTCTAAAATGCAAATTACCTTCCAATTTGAATAAATTCTCCCCTTTCCTTAGCTCAAAGCCCCCATTCTTCTTATTCACAAACATCATGAATATTAATGAACTGATGTGTAAACAGAATGGACACTCTTGGTACAGGAGTGATATCCTCTTTTCATAAATATGTAGGTTACCTTTTGAGAACCCCCATTTCATGTAAGGATGTTATTGGTTTACAGGTTTTGCTGTACTTCCAGATAATTGAGGAGCTCTCGTAAAAACTTTAAAAATAGGCAGTGTATCCTTTTCCAACAAAAGTTACCTTTTCCTATTTTTTTTGTTAAATGGAATCATTGTTCCATTGTTCCTCTTGTGTTAATTTGGCTCTCACAGTTTGCTGCTGTAGAGAGAGCAGTTTCAGGAAGTTTTTGGTTTGGGGGGTTTTTTGGGGGGCGGAGGGAGGGCAAGGTCTTGCTCTGTAGTCCAGGCTGGTTTTCAGGTTCAGTATTTCTTCAAGATCCTGGATAATTAGCAGTAGAGAAAGGAAAGAAATCACAGACTGGAACATTTAGACAAGAGTGAGTCATGCACATGAGGAATGTGTTCATTCTTTTATTGTCCATTGTTTCAACCTGACCAATACAAGATCAACAAGAGCACTGTACTCCTGGCAATTATTACATGTTAGAACGTGGATTTGCACTGTAGACAACATTTAACACCAGTCTATGGGGTACTGCATTGCTTTTTATAAAGTTCAAAATAAAGATTTATTTTCCAAACAAGTGACTTTGGTTTATTTCATACATTACACTTTTTCTTGCAGAAAAAAATAAAATTGTACAACTGCATAAATATAAAATTCTTCCACCATGAAAATGGTTAAAACATTCATAAAGACACAGCACCAGCATGTGATGCCTCCAGAGAAAGGAAAAAAGGAAAAGAAAATGTACAAAGCAAATTAAGTGGCCCTGTCACTAGCCAAAGTGATGGGCAGATCCAGATCTCAAACACAGCTTCAGAACATACTGGAGGACAAGGGAAGAGATGTTAAGACAGCATTCAGTACAAAACACTACACAACCCATCACCTTTTTGTGTTTTTCTGTAGTGTCACTTAAAATTTAAAGGGCAGTTCCCCCATGACAGCCCACCCCCCAACCCCAGGAAAAAAAATAATAAAGACCTAACACCACAGGAAAAGACTATGGAGTGTGTTAAAAATACTCATTGATGGGCCATTATCTTTGAAAGAGTCAAACCAAAAAAAAAAGGTACCATGCCAGTTTTTTCCCCATTGAATATTTACACCTTGGACAGCAAACCTTGCTCACATAAAGTAGAAAACAGATATGATAAAACATGGCTTGAAAAATGACCAGAGTATGCACCTATAGTACTGTACATTAAATAAAATACACAAGGCAGCAATACTTAGGGGTCAGAAACACTGCTTACTACAAGTCAGTTATGGAATCATAATTTACAGTAAAAATGGGCACGTCCCAAGGCTCAATTTTTATTTTTCTTTTGTCATTTACAGTAGAATAAATATTTTCTTGCTATTGCTACACTTTAAATTTACATTCTAACCTATTAAATGCAGAAAGCTAGTGTAAAGCATATAGATTAAGTGTAGGTCCCATACGTATGACAGTTTGTTCAAGACTAGTAGGTTTTTGTTTTTGTATCTTTTTAAACTTATTAAATGGCTAGTGGGAAAGATTTGTGCTTGTGATCAGCTCTTAACTTCAATTTTTACATCAAAGCGTCCCTGAAAACGGTCTTTCTCACTGTACCCAATGTTTTCACCATACGCCTTACACTCAATGCGAATTTCAGTGTCCAAGGTGAGGTTGGTGAACTGCACAGCCAGCAGAGGCTGCAAGTACTTGGGCTGCAGGAGTTTGCCATAGTAGGGGTAATACTGCAGAGGAAAACCAGCGTATCCACCCAGTCCAAAATATTCAATGCTTCCAACTTTCTCCTTATCTTCATCTCGCTAAAAAGCAGAGTGAAATGAAATTTTAATGGTTTACATCATGGATCACTACTTGTACTCACATACAAACAAGAGTGTCAACCCCATGGAGTATCCTGTGACATGCCTGGCACAACCCTCTCTTAGAAGTGTAAGAATATCAAGTGCTGACAGATACCAGTGGTTGTCTGACACCACAAGAAGAACATGCACTACTCAGTCTAATCCACAGCAGCCTCAAGAAACAGTTCCAAATGGAGGATACTCTCACTATGCAAATGGGGAAACTGAGGCAAATGTCAAAGAAACATTTTTCTAAGCCAACACAGCCTCCAGGAAACAAGGCCAACAGTGGAAAGAACTCCAAATATTGTCCCAGTGATATTTCCAGTGATATTATCCTCGAAGTTTATCTATTTGCCCCTCATTTCTTACGTCCATTTCTTTTCTTAGTTCCAGCATAAAATGGAAGGTTTTGGGAATTTCCTTTTAATCTGCCTTCTCTCTGTAAACAATTTATCCAGTACCTATGTTTACATCTAGTGGGAAAATTCACTAATCATTACTTTAATCTCAATATTTTTTAAAGAGATGCCTTCACCATAAATTCTTATGTGACATTATTCATTAAAAGAAGAAAAAAAAGGAAAGACCCAACATTCCAATGTATTAAATTCAGATATTTGGCTTTCTTGTGCCAATGAAGAGCCAACATATGGTTTTAATCTTGCTACATCTTTCTGTCCTTTTAAGAAATTTTACCCAGGTACGCACATGTGAATAAATGAATAATAAAAATAAATAAAAAGAAACTAAGAAAGACAACAAAAATAAATAAAAAGACAACTTATCTATTTACTTCTAAGTAATGAGTGCTACATAGTAGAACATGCAACCTTAAAAACATATAATTTGTAGTTTATTATTTAAATAAATACTTCATGTTCCTAAAAAAAAAAAAAAAAAAACTTTTACCCAGTATAATTACAAGTCAACTTTCTGAGAGTAGTACCTGAAAACAATAGTTCTTATTTCCTGTATTAAAAAGTTACCTGTAATTTTAAAGAATCTCATTCATTCATTCTTCTTCCTCTGCCTACTGTCCCAGCCGCCACCCCCATTAACCCTAAATGTGTCCTTACCTTGCCAGTGCACAGAACGGGCAGGACATTTGGATTATACTTCATCATTGGGTAAGTGTCCAAGGACTCATTCTTGGGAGGCTAAAAATAAAATCCATGTTGGTCAGTAAGATGTAAATAATTTTTTTTAATTTCTGATAAATGAAACTAGGTAACAGTCCAAACACAGGCTGGTCACAGAGAAATAATAAAAACACATCAGGAAAGCAAAATGAGTGACGTCTTAATCCTTCTAGGAAGTCTGTGAGTTTGTTGAAAGTAAGTGTCCAAGTTTTGTGAACATGACAATTAAGTTGTAATACAGCCCAGCATTAAATGGAAGGTCTAATGGAAACCTATTAGAAGCTTTACTCAAGGACAATCAATGATTAATTGCTAAGATTAGAATAATTACATGGGAAGGTTGACTGACACTTCTCTTTTATAAGCTTGGGCCTTATCCTAAGCCATGAATAAATAATGCTATCCTTTTCCCTCAAGAATGCCTTCTTGAAGTAGGCGTTCCTTCTTTTTTAAATCTCCAGGATGGAGTGTTTCTAATTCTGTTAGGAAAGTTCAATATATAAAAACAAGCAAAGGTGGCATTACTCCAGAGAACAATTTGTAAATTACTACCATCATAAAATATCCACGGCCTTCCCTCCTGCATCCTCTTCAAATCTACCTCAGAAGAACACTGTTGAAAAATATCCACCTGTTTATTCATGTCAGCCTAGCATGTGAGTCTTAACACACATAGTCTAACCAAGTCCAATATGACAAAAAGTTCAACACATCAGTAAGGAATTAATATTGAGGTACTACCCTTAGTTTGGGGATTTAAGAAAATGATTATCTACATTTGACTCTTTTGGAACTTTCTGCCCGTAATAGGTTTATTTTTAAAAACATGAAGAGAAAATGTTTATTGATCAAGGAAATTGCCAGAATATATCCTCAGAGGATAAGAAAACAGGCATACCAGGTGAAATGCTAGGGTACTGCATTTTCTTACAAAAATAATTCCTATAACAAAATAGCTGGGGATTGGGGTGGGAGTAATCAAGTGGAAACCAAATATAAAAATTTTAAAAAGGCTGAACTCATTACTTAATAGAATATCCAGATGTGGGAAGAGAGAAATAGGCTAGGCTTTGTGTATATGAGGTACAAATATCACTCAACATCTGTGATGGGTAATATCAAAAAGCAAAGGTTCAGCAGAGATTAGCTTCAGTCTTCAGCCATATCACACCAATTCTTTTTATGATCGATCTCAATGGAATGTTCCCTAGTAATATGAATATGAAATCCAAGTATGTCATAATGGTTCTCACCATTTTTCTTCCATTATGTCCTAGTCTAAGTGGGAAAAAGATTAAAATTCTGTTGAGAGGTGTGCTAATTTCTTCAGAACCATCAAGCCAGCCAGCCAACCATCCATCTACCTAGTTACCCATTTTTTCCTCTGGTGGCAATAAAGGAAGTTTGATACATACTTTAGTTAATAAAGTATTTCATCTCTACCTTGATTTTCTTTTGGATAACAAGCATTGTGGAAGCAAATTAATAGCATTCAATAGAAAATCAGTGAACAAAAGAACCAGATTTCAGAAATTAAATGAGTTTGTTCACATAAACTCAAGTGTATTGCAGCCAATCCCTATCAGAATTAAAAATACACTAATACTGGCAATATACACTAATACTGGTTCTGATGGTGATTAGAGGGAAACCTTCTGGAAGAAGCCATGCTTAAGGAAGAAGGAAAGCATTGCTTAATTCATGATCTGAGATAACCAATTTTATAAAAACAGAAATAACACCAATATTTTTTCTATCTTTTAAAGAATTAATATATTCTCATAAAATGTGAGTAGTTCCAAGTTGCCATTTTTCAGTGACCTCAAGTAATGTTTACCCATTAAAAGCTATAAAAAGCCAGCAGCATGGATACCAAAATCTGGCCTAGATGGTTCCAATTTCTTTTTTTTTTTAAATAATGAGATCATCATTCAGGGGGGAAAAAGTTACTTTTACTCTTATGGCTCCAAGAAGACTAACCAGAATATGACTGCACATCTAGGAGATTTTTAAATTTAAAAATGCCATTTTCTATTTTTACTTTTAAAGAGTTTTACATGGTATAGAAATTGTTATCTGTATACTAAGCAGAAGTATTAAGAGCAGGACCACAGGATTGGCCCCAAATTTGGTTTTGTGACTCAGAATTTCTGCAGCTTTAGAAAATAAGATTCATACCATTAACTTTAGGATTTTAGGGTAGATACAAAGGTTTTTGGTGTTATGCTACTAACTGGAGCTTCAAAACTGGCAATGAAGATGTGTATTTTAAAACTTCCTTATATTTTCTTTTCATATCAATTAAGTACTTTATCCAAAATGTGAATGGCTCATCTAAATTCTATCATATAAAGTATTACTTGCCTTAGGTTTGAAGCCCAGAACTCGGTTGAGCTTTATGATGATACAAGGTTTGCCATCTTTGTAGCCGTAAGTTTCATCATTTTGTCCAGAGCAATTTCCCAACCAGTCAAGCTTGAATCTGCACACCTTTCGTTCTCCTCGTTCATGATTAAATTCTCCTCGTTCTTTGGGTTCACTGGGCACACCTAAAAGTACAAACAGCATCTTAAAATTGTAACAGCAATTCCCTAAGC